ATGCCGGCCCTGCAGGGATGAGGAACATGGACAGGTTCCCACTGGAAGCCCTGGCGGTCTCTGCTGGGAGACTCTGCTTTCAGAATGGTTTCCAGGGCTTGCTCACGTCCTGTAAGAAACCTCGTCACTCTTATCTCCTGCTTGTCCTCAGCAAAGGACAAACCCTACAGCCCTACTGTGTGGTCACTGGCTGTAAGCATCTACCTCCTATCTCCTCCCCTAGGCTGTGGGCATCTTGAGGGAGGGCCCTCTCTGGCGGCCACGCCCAGCACCCAGTGACCACCACTGGCAGACACCATGGGAGGCCCACCCCTATCCCCGCAGCCCTCTCTGTCCCCTGCCCAAGGAAGGTTCCCTGCACAGGTTCCTGCCACTCCCAGCTCAGCCCACTCCCAGCAGGTCCTGAGAGCAGGAGGGGTGCTTCTGGCCGGTGGGACTTGGTGGGCCATAGCAGGTTGCGTTGGCCAGAGGGCCGCAGTGAGCCAGAGTCCCATGTCCCCTGTCATAGCCTACACATACAACTTTCCTCTTTTCCACATCTCATTTTTCTTATTGCCTCCTGGGCTCATCTTGTACCACATCCATATTTCAGGGTCACCTTCTGAAGGTGCCCGGGCTCAGACCACGGTTGGAGACACTAAAGAACTATTGAAATGAAGTCTTAGGTCAAATATGGGTGCATGAGTTCAACCAAGGCTCTGGGAGACTGGGGATCTCTGAATCAGAAGAATCTCTGATGCAGGCCAGAAGGAGGACCAGGTCAGGGGACAAGCGTCCCCAAACTATGAGCAGCAAAGCTAGGTAGTGTGAGAAATCGAACGTCTGGTGGGCCGTTTCAGAATTCAGCACTTAGCCTTAAATGTAAAATCAGGATGTCAGAAGGGCGGAGGGAGGGGAGGACAAAATGAAAGTCAAAAGAAGTTAACACAGAGGGTGACGGAGTCACAGCCCTTGTCAAGCAAGAGGCGAGGGAGAAGGACCAATGGCAAGAAGGATCAATATGGGGAAGCCTTCAACCCAAGAGGCCTTTCCACCACCAGAGAGTAGAGGAGGCTCAACAACCCTGTAGGAAGGAGAAAGTGCAACCTAGGAAGACCCTGCCCCCATGGCACTCAGCCCACGAGCAGCCAGGGAGGGACCTTGCGCTCTAGGGAGTAAAATGCCCATGCCCGTGGTGTTGGCTCTGGGTGAGCCTGCTCCCCGGACACCCACTCAGTGAAAGCCTTACTTTCTCTGTACCTTTGGTCTTTTAGTCCGTTCTTTGGATTTGGTCACAGGAGCATGTTTCTCGCAGTAGCATTTTTAAAATGCCACGTCAGGGGCTGAGATTGTGACTGAGGCTGGGGCTCAGTGGTCCCGCGCCTGCCTAGCATGTATGAGGCCCTGGGTTCCATCCTCAGCACCACATTAAAGAAAGAAAGAAAGAAAGACCTTGGCGGCTGGAACTCAGTTCGAGGGCCTTGGACTCTACATGGAGAGGAAGGAGGAATGGGGCCGGAAGAGAGCAGGCGTGCGGGAGTGGCGGGCGCTCCTTCAGTCCTGTTGCCCAAACCTCTGTCCTGGACACCAGCCCAGTAATGAGGACATGGTTTTTGAAAGAGAAGTTGTATTGCTTTGCTAGCAAACAGGTAACACAGGGACTTCTGTCTCAGAGGCCGTGATTCTGCCCGTCCAGGGGAACAGGGAGCTTTTAAAGAGGTGATTGATTCAAAGGTGGCCCAGACAGGGCTCATGATTCACATGCTAATCCTTAGATTTCTTGGATCTTCTGGTGCCGTCTCCTAAATCTGAATTACTTGGTTCCCGTGGTGGTACGTGCTCAAGACAGATAACTCTGCCTAGAGTGTGGAAGAAGTGTGATCCTGTTTTCCCTGAGATCAGGGAGGAAGAGGAGAAAAAACATGTCCCCTTTAAAAATAGGGCTATATTTGGTGCTGGGGTGGTGGCCCAGCGGCAGAGCGCTCACCTCACACGTGTGAAGCCCTGGGTTTGATCCTCAGCACCACATAAAAAAATAAATAAATAAAATGAAGGTATTGTGTCCAACTAAAAAGTAAATAGTTTTTAAAAATAGGGCTATATTCAAAGCCTATCTACCTCCTATCTCCTCCCCTAGGCTGTGGACATCTTGAGGGAGGGCCCTCTCTGGGGGCCACGCCCAGCACCCAGTGACCACCACTGGCAGGCGCCATGGGAGGCCCACCCATATCCCCGCAGCCCTCTCTGTCCCCTGCCCAAGGAAGGTTCCCTGCACAGGTTCCTGCCGCTGCATTTGAACTTACTGAATCGGGAGTCACCTGGGTGAAAGGTGCAGGGTTCTTGCACAGAGTCAGGGCACCTGGGCAGCAGGAAGCAGCGTTTCATTAGCGCTGGCCGAGAGCGCGCGGGTGATGTCTTCCTGTGCTCGCCCTTCCCTGCGACCTTCTTGGTCTTCTGTCCGTGGATTTGGGTCAAGTGTCCTGTTCTTCACAGTCGTAACAGGGTTGTGGAGTCGTGCAGGTTGACAGCAGAGTTGGGCCTGTGCCCTGAGTGTGCCACCCCACCTTTTCCTTGTGCTCCTGTAATTGACGGCGCGTGTCCCTTTCTCTGTTCCAGGAGAGCCCTTATCACGACATAGACACATGGGCTTGTTGGACTTCATCAGGGACACTAGGCACATGAACTTACCAAATTCACCAAACCAGCGAATGACTCGACCATCCCAGTCAGGATGTGTGAGAGGAGTTACCACTAAACTGCAGAATGGGACACTGACCTGTCACCTGGTCACAGGCCGCCTGGCATACTCGCTATAGCCTCTGCCCACGAGGTCGCCAGGCTCCCAGCTGCCCACTCTGCTGCTCATCTCAGTCCCTGACCACAGCACATCAAGGCTGTCCTCAGGGCCTCTCACGTTGACACCCACACCAGGGTCCTCAGCTCTGCGCTGACCTGACCCCCACAGTGACCCTACATCTGAACTGACTCCTTGAATGACCTCCTTCAATCCTTGGCTTCTTCACCATTTGCTGTGTGACATGTGATCATTACGATTGGATGGGACAGAGGCCTGGCCATCACCGTGGTCAGGACTCTAGGTGAAACCAGGAGTCCTCAGTGAAGTCAGGCGGATGGGACACAGCTGTGAGGCCACCAGAGTCCACAGTGTGGAAAGACAAACTGCCAGTCCCTGTTACTGGCACAGCTGCTCGTGACACAGGGGAACGAGGGGGTGGTGTGACCACTCACGTGCAAAACAAAAGGACAATGGAGATGCCCGGCTTAGTGGACCCTGCTGACTGGACGACAATCCCCCTGCAGCCCAAGGGGCTCTTCCTCCCACAGAACTGAGTACCATAGCTGAGTACCACGTGCTTTTACAGCTGATAAAACAAGAAAAGCAAATCACTGTTCTTGACTGATTCCTATGTGATTTTTTGTGTGATTGAGTGACCCTACAATGACAGACTCCCTCCAACCCCCTTATTTGAGCTTTTTTCTCAGAAATTTTACCTTATAAAAATTAAAATATGAGGGCTGAGGTGGTGGCTCAGTGGTAGAGCGTTTGCCTGGCATATGTGAGGCACTGGGTTCGAACCTCAGCACTGCATGTGAATAAATGAATAAAAGTCCACCAACAACTAAAAAAAATTAAATATGAAAGGAATTGATGTTTAACCCTGCCTTATTCTAGTAATGAGGGATGTTCGTATATGGAGAATATTTATGATGATAACTCAATCCAGAGGAAAAAATAGTTAAGCACATAGGGCCTTATGATCATGGAAAAAACTTAAATTTCCTATTTATTTCTGTGGCAAATAAAGATGGAATGGATAAAAGGCTTTGGAGAAGAATAAGATATATATTTACATGGGTATAAATTTTATAATAGAAGTGCTTATTTAACACACTGATTTCCTCTGTGATCCAGGCACATCACAGCCTTCCTGCACTTGGAAACCTTAGACAGCACTTCAGTACTATGCTTGGGGGCTACTTTGAACAGCAAATTCACCTCCCCCCCCCCCCCCCAAAAAAAAGCCCCATGTGAAAAACATAACACTACATTAAACATGAAAAGGACATGTGTTTGTAGTAGAGAGCCCAAAAGGCCCCACGTTCGGCAACATCCGGCCATTTGAATGTTTATGCTGCTCTGTGCGTGTCCACTAATGTCTACAAGTGAGCCAAGCCTGAGGCAAATTTGCAAATACAGAATCCACAGATCATAAGGGCCAACAGAGTGCTTGCTTCCATCCCCCACAGGTCTCTTGTTCTGTGTTTTCTTGTTTCTGGGCCAGTGGCATGACCATCTCCTGCCCAATAGAGGGACAATAGCAAGGATTTACAGGGCACAGGGTCAGTCAGGTAGATCTTCCCCTGACATTTGCAGAGCTGAGAACAAGAGACTTAGGCTTAACCAACTGTCCCAGCTTGTCTAGGACTGAAAATTTTTCCTGATGCAGGACTTTCCAGGAAAGCCCCAGACAAATCAGGGTGAGTTGATCACCCTCCAAATAATGTGAAAAATACTGCAAAGTTTTATATATATATACATAACAAGCACACTAAATTCTATTCAAAGGTGGTGCCTACTTTAGGCTGGCTCTCCCTGTGATAAAGGCAAATGAGAAAGAGTCACAGGGATGTTAAGAACCCCAGTGGGCACCATCTGCGACTTTCTTCCGGACTCGAAAGAAAAGGAACTGGAAAGGTGGTCCCCTCTGCAGAGCGCTGGACGTGTTGGAGTTTTGGACCACTCCGGAGTTGGGCGCGCCCCGGCTCCGCCCCCGGCCGGGCTGGAGGGAGGGGCGGGCGTCCTGCCCGCCCATTGGGTCTGCCGCGGGCTCATTTGCATGGTCCGAGGGGGCAGGACTGGAGGGTGACGTCACGCAGGGAATGCCTAGGGGGTTGCACCCGCTCCGGGCTGGGAGCGCCGGCAGGTGCAGAGTGGAGTGGCCGCGGCCTCCTCCCGACCCGCACCCAGATCCTGCCCCGCACTGTGCCCCGCCGCCGCCATGTACGACCCCGAGCGCGGCTGGAGCCTGTCCTTCGGGGGCAGCGGCTTCCTGGGCTTGTACTACGTTGGGGTGACCCGCTGCCTGAGCGAGCGCGCCCCGTATCTCCTCCACAACGCGCGCAAGATCTTCGGCTCCTCGGCCGGGGCGCTGCACGCCGCCACCTTCCTGTCCGGGATCCCGCTGGGTGCGTCCGGGGCGCCGCCCGCACTCCGCGCTGGGAGGGAGCGTCTGCTAGGCTCGGATGCCGGCATCCCCAGGGGCCCTCGGAGGAGCCGGGAAGGGTCACTGGACACTGCGAGTGCATCTTGTAGGTCCCCTACCCAGACCGATTGCCTCCTTCGCAGCGTCCTTTGGAGTATTGCAGTGTCGCTGGAGGTTGAGGGAGCTGTCACTGGACCCGGGAAGGGGGAGCACCCCAGAGAGGCTTTTCGGGCCAGCGCGGAGGTTCCAAGAGACGTCCGCACCTTCGCACACGAGGCCCTGTGTGGCGCCCGGGCTTGAAGGGAGCTCCCCGCCCTGGGACTGAGAGTGAAGTATTTCGGAGGAGAGGGAGGGACCTGGGGTGTGGGTGAGGCTGGTCCCTGAGGTCTGAGTGGCCTAGGGGCTGATTGGCCCTGGATGTGACCGAGTACAGATTTTGACTCCCAAGGTGGGCGTGGATTGGAGGGACTGGAGACATCCGGACCTCTGCCCAGCTCTCAGGGGCAACCTTTGGGTGGACTCCGAGGCAGACCAGCTGGTTTGGAGTCCTGATCACCCCAGGGGCAGAGGGTGGAATAGGAAAGTTGTGAACTCTCCCTCCTTCTCCAGTGTTTGGGACCCTTCCTGGAGGAGTTGGAATGGATTCTTGGATATTCCCCGTCCCATCCTCTTTCCAACCCCCCACCTCACCCCAGCTCACTGTCACTGTCAATGAAATCCCAGACATTTGGATTTTGGCCTGCTGAAACATTTATCCACGTGGTTGCTGTGGGAAGGGAGGAGCTGGGTTTGTTTCTCCCCAGCCCAAACTGCTGGGACTTGGCATCCTTCCCAGGACCCACATGCCATCGCTCAGGGGTTTTGAGCCAATAGGCAGGGTGTGGGGCAAGTGGAAGCATGGAACTGATGATACCCAAAAGTGCCCAGGACAATAATGCCCCTTATCAGTTTATCTGGGCTCTTTAACAATTTACTCTTTGGGGAGTGACTTGGCTCATTGGGGGAAGCCCATGCTGGTAAGCAAAGCTGTGCCATTGGGCAGGATTAGTGAGCAGACCCTGTGCTGACCGGGATTTGGGGATTAGAGAGAGGCTGCCCTGGCTGTCCACCTGCTGGCTGTCTCCCTTGTGAGGGAGAGGGGAGCAAAGGGCAGACAGTTTGGCCTCTAGGAGGATTAGACTGGCCATGTGACCATCTGCACACCTTGGGCTTTAGCAGTGATAAGAGCCAGCTCTTGTATTCTGGGGTGATCTCTGTGCCTCTGCTTGGACAGATGTTTGATTGGGACAAGGTTTGTTTGATTAATTGTTCATTGGCACTGGGGATTGAACCCAGGGATACTCTACCACTGAGCTTCATCCCTAGCCCTATTTATTTATTTATTTATTTATTTTTATTTTGGGACAGGGTCTCCCTAAACTGTCCAGCCAGGCCTCCAACTTGTGATCATCCTGCCGTAACCTCCTGTGTAGCTAGAATTACATGCATGTGCCACCATACCCGGCTTTGGACGAAGTTTAAATGCACTGACCCAGGGGGCCTGAATGATACTAACTCCTTTACAGAGGGGGTTCCTAAGTAGGCAGAGGATAGCACAGCCTGGGGCTATGGCTGCCAGGGCACATGGAGGCGCAGGGGCCATCAAGTTCTGCAAAGTGGATCTCAGTTTTTGTCAGGAGCTACTCCCTGGGGACTCTGTTTCCTGTTCTAATCCCCTGTCCTACAGGAGGAAGCTGCTGAGAAGCTTTTCCCAGACCTGTCGCTTGGCACAGGTCCTCAGAGCGTCTGAGTGGAGGCTGGGTTTGGCAGGAGAGAGAGACAGACTGCCAGCAGTGTGCGAATTCACGGCGCTGGCCAGGTCAGGAGAGGGGGTGGGTTGTGAGTCTGTGAGTTGAGGTCAGGGTTGGATCAGAACAGGCTGCCTGTCCTTGGGCAGCCCTGAATTTATGGCTGGCCAGGTCTGAGGCTGGATGAGATGGTCCTTGTACAGAACTGGGGGGGGCCAGACCAGATAGAGCATGACCGTGCTCTACATCCGCATACGGTTTCTGGCTTTAGAAACTTAAGGTTGAGACTAATTATTCATTAGTGGTCTCTTCTGAGTGGAACATCTTGCCGATCATATTTTACCTAATCTCTGTCTCTAAAAGTTGGATAGATTTTGTCCTACATGGGGAAGGTGGTGTGACATTTGGGCAGGTGGTAAAGCACCTTGCTGAGGTCACTCCACTAGCAAGACCTGGAAGCGGGATTCCAACTTGTGTGTAAGGCTACATTCTTTCTCCTGCTTCCTCCAAAGTGGAGATCATCTGCGCGGAGGCTGAGATGCTGCTGTGTTCTGGCTCGGGCTTTGTGGGCATTGCGTTGGGGTGCTGTCAGACCCACAGGCTGCTGCAAGGGGGAGGCTTTTCCTGTGGCTGAAGCAGTACTGTCCAGTAGAAATGCACCATAAACCCCGTGAACCGTTTCATGTTTCCTGGTGGCCATGTTGACCAAAGTCAAAGACTCAGAGAAATGTCACTGAGTCCACTAAGCTCAACATATTATCATTTTCACATCTAGTCAGTATAAATCAATAAATCAATTCCTACTAAGCCTTTGAAATCCAGAGTATATTTTACGGGTCTTGATTCGGACTAGCCACGTTCAAGGGCTGAGTGGCCACATGGGGCTACCGTATGTGTAGGGTTGCAGCTTCTTTGTGAATGGTTTCTGAGTGGCAGACAGTCCTCTGGTCTTGACAAAAAGTCCCTATCTCCAGGGTGGTAATCTTTTTCTATGCATTTGTCTCCTGTCCCCAGACCGGGTCCTGCAGATCGTCTTGGACTTCATCTGGAAGGCCAGGAGACGGAATCTTGGTGTCCTGCACCCGTCCTTCAACATAGGCAAGTGCCTCCGAGATGGCCTGCAGGAGCACCTCCCAGACAACGTCCACCAGCTCATCTCGGGCAAGATCAGCATATCGCTCACCAGGGTGTCTGATGGGAAGAACGTGCTGGTGTCTGACTTCCAGTCCAAAGCTGAAGTGGTGGACGTGAGTGCTTTGCTTATCTGGGTGTCCTCACGTGAGAAAGCAACACCCAGGGCTGTTGTGGGCCCTGCACAGGGCGACATACATTCTGTGCACACTGGGTGATTTGGTCTGCCCTGGCCGCATGGCCACACCGTCTAGGAACCTCTCCTGGCTCTGTTCCAGAGCTCCGCTGGCTCTCTGCAGATTTTATAATGAGGAGGGCTTCTCAGGCCAAGCCCCCCAAGGTGGGAGTGGCTTCTTTGTCTCCACTCTCAGGGTCTAGCATAGACTAGATAATTTGCAATGAGACATTTGCTGATGTCTTTCCTAAGAGTTCCTTGAGGGAATGGCAGGGCGGTACAAGGGCACCCCCTGGCACGTACAGTCAGCACCCTGGCAGGCAAGTTCCTTCCGTTTCACTTTGCTTCTGGAAGCTTTATCTAAACAACCAGCACCTGCCAGTTCCTTCACGTATCCATCCTTGTCCCCCACTCTCCCCTGACCAGTGTGGCCTCCATCTCACGCTGCAGCCCCAGGGTCTCCTGGAAGCTTGTCAGAACTACAGAATCTCGGGCCCTACCTGTGACCTGCTGCGGAATTACCTGGGGGCACAGAGCTGTGGTCCCACCAGCTTCCTGGGGACTCTCATGTGCATCAGCATTTGGGAAGCACTGTTCTAGCCACCCAGTCCACTACTGTGTCCCACCAGTGATGACCCAGTGTGGCTGTCCTGGAGGTCAAGCCCGGGAGGGTAAAGTGGGCAGCGTGGTTGAGAAGTGAGCCTTGGAGCATGTGATGGCCAATTGTTCATCCCCCGTGTAGTAAGGCACCTACTCTGTGCAGAGAGCATTCAAGCTTGGCGCCATGTTTGGAGAAGGCTGGAGAGGCCGGGCTCTCACTCTTGTCTCTGCAGGCCCTGCTCTGTTCCTCCTTCATCCCCTTCTACTGTGGCCTGATCCCTCCTGCCTTCCGAGGAGTGGTAAGTGTGTGTGGGCGGCAGAGAGGGCTGCAACCTGGAGACCTCCTTTGAAATGCTCACTGCTCCCGGTGCCCCCGGACCGCGTCACCATGCGGGTCCCCGTGCCTCTCAGTCTTGCAGACAGAATCCTTAGCAGCACCAGCTTCCAGGCTGCTGGGCAGCAAAACCTCCTCCATGTGTAATTAATGACCTTGCTGTGGGTAAGGTACACTGCAGGCTCACCTAACCCGCTCGTGAGCAGCGCAGGTAGGTTCCCACTGGCCTAGTTAAGGCGTCAGAGGCTTAAGAATCTACTACTCCTAGGGTAGAGCTTTGTTCTCCCGAGAAGACAGAACTGTCGCGTTTTCTAGCAGCAGCAACAAAAATCTGTACGTCTGGTCTGACACCCGTCTCTGCTCTGTTGTGTTTGCTCTTTTGTGAAGCACAGAAGAAAGTTGGGGCTGAGGAATGCTCCCTTTTAGGGTCATTTTTAAACTCATGAGGAAGTAGCAGAATGATAAGACCCTGCCAGCCCCTCAGGCAGAGTGAGCTGGAGGTGGTGGTGGATCAACCCTCCTGAGGCGGGAGGTGCATGGCCACTGCGTCAGGGCTCTGCTGTCCCCCACCACAGGCTTGTCTCCATTCACTGCAAGGCAACTCTTGTCCCCACAGGTCAGTACCCAGGACAGGTGTCCACAGGGTCACTTGGGGACCTGGCCATTGAGTGACCAAAGCACATTTTGGATTCTGATGTTGGCCCCTTGTCCTGTTAGTGGCTTCAATATGTATCTCATCTTCTCAGAACTAAGCAGGGGGCCCCTGGGGCGCTGTGGTGGTGACCCCAGATTCCCCAGTGCCCATTTCTGGCTTTTCCCCCTGGCAGGAAAAGCAGCCCAGAGCCCCCTTGGTGCATGCTTCCAGGTGGTGCCCCAGAGCCCTGCTCATCCCCCCACCTCAGGAGTTCCGTGCCAGACACATGTCCATCCTGATCTGCAGATGAAATAACTGAAGCCCCGGCTACAGTGTGGTCACTCCAGGCTCTGTGTGGCAGACACCTGGAATCAAGTTCTCACTCTCCCTCAGCATAGCTGTGACACTTTGGACGTATTTCCGAACCGCTCTGAGACTGACATTGCAAAACGGGGTTCTTCACGCGGCATCAGGGTAGATGGAGAAGAGCTTGAGGTCAATAGTGCAGGTCCAGCTTAGACCAGAGCCTGCCAGGGGTGTGGCCAAGGTGGGCTATTTTATCATCATTGTCATCGTTCTCCTGCCCCGGGCCAGAGGCCGCACCTAGAGATTGTCCTGTCACTAGATCAGCTGGACACAGTGACCACCCAGTCAGCATGCTCAGGGGAGTCCTGCCAGAAACAGGGACAGACCTTCCTGAGAGTCAGCCAGAGCATTGCCCTGGCAGAGCGCTAAGCACCTGGAGAGGTTCCACATAGCAGAGGAATGTCCTTGAAGGAAAGATGGTCGCCCCTCGCAGCCTTCACCAAAGGTTCACATGCTAGGTCCATGCCCCTTCATGCCCACGAGGCTCCCGATGCCCGGTTCCATCTGCCACTAAAGCTGTGCAGCTGCACTGGGTGTGGGGCTGCTCAGTAGTACTGTACTCAAGGATGGAAGGAAGGAGGGACAGAGGGAAGGAAAGAGGGAAGGAAGGAAGGAGGGAAGGAAGGGGGAGGGAAGAAGGAGGGAAGGAAGGAAGGAGGGAAGGAAAGAGGGAGGGAAGGAGGGAAGGAAGGAAGGAAGGAGGGATGGAGGGAAGGAGGGAGGAAGGAGGGAGGGAAGGAGGGAGGAAGGAGGGAGGGAAAGAAGGCCGGGCAAACATATCTACGGTTGTGAACAAGTTGCAGGCTCACATCGGGTCAGTTTTGGACTCGAGGTGACAGTGTCCTGCTGGCCAAGGTGTGACCAGCACTTCGATGCTTCGCTGGACCTGTTTTGGGCTGAGCTCTGCTCCCAGGGCTGGCTGGGAAGTCTTCTCTCTGTGGGCCCCGGTGGCTCTGCTGTGGTGGCTGTGACTGGGGATCATCCCAGACACTGATGCAGCTGTTCAAATGGTTGGAAAACCTCCCTATCTGTCTTAGCTATGGGCAATAAGGGTTTATGTCACACTGTGTCCCCAGTGCACAGAGCATCTCTAGTTTATGTGGCCCCTTTGTGTGTGTTCTTTGGAAACACCTGTGGGGATCCCTCCAGCCTTGGCCAGCACAACAGGGTCTGGACCCCACCCTCCGCCCGCCTCGTTGCCAGGTGCCATCAAGCAGTACACACACCCTGTACGACAGTATATAGCCACCCCGAGAACCAGTGTAGAGCCTGGCCTTCCTACAAGGACCACAGAGGCGCCCAGTGAGCATGGTCAAGAGTGGCTCTCGAAGCCCGTCTCCTGCTCTGTCCACCTGCAGTGGCTCCCAGAACCCCCCTCCCCCAGTATCCTGAAGACACAGTAAAGGTAGCCGGAGCTGCAGACGGCTTCAGTCCCTTTCTCCTTCCTTAAAAGCGTTACATAGATGGCGGATTCAGTGACAACCTACCCCTTGCGGATGTCAAGACCACCATCACTGTGTGCCCCTTCTACGGGGAGTTTGACATCTGCCCTAAAATCAAGTCCACAAACTTCCTTCACGTGAACATCACCAACTTCAGCTTCCACCTCAGCATGAGGAACTTCTACCTCCTGTCCAGATCGCTTTTCCCCCCAGACTTCAAGGTGAGTGGTGCTCGGGTGCTGGTCTTCTCTATGATGGGGCGGCCGGCACCCTGGCAGAGCGAGAAGTGTGAAATAGACAGTAAGAAATAAGACAAAGCCAAGACTGGATTTGAAAGTGGGCTCCTGACGGGTCTTTCAGCCCTGATGGGAACCGGAACTGAGCAATTTTGAAAGGCCCAATTCTTTATTTAGGGGAAGTACATCAAAGTCAGGGGTAAGGTTTCAGTGTGGGAGGGGTCCTGCTCAGGTGCCTGTTTCTCAGTGTGGCAGGGGCTCTTTGGCCCTCCGGTTGGGAGCTAAGACGGCACCAGCGGGATCTGGGCTTTCTTGAACGGGGGAGATTCACCAGGCGTTCCCAGAGAAGCAGCTTCTCTGTCTTAACGGCTTGAACAAACCCATAATTCCTGTGGCCTACGACATCTTTCCCCTTCTTTTTAAATTCAAATGATGGTCAGTTACTTGGGGTTCTTGGATCTTGGACCTGAGGATATGGCAACCTATTAGCACGACACAAAAAAGAATTAGTAGCACACATATCATCCCAACGATGAACCAGGTAGAGTGTTTCACATGTTTCCAGGGTTAAAGCCGTTTAATTTATGAAGTATTGTTCAGCTGGACACGCAGGGTCTGTGAGCCCGATCTTGTTTTTCTGCATACCATGGTGTGACCATGTGTCTCCACAGGTTCAAGCTATTATCATGGCTATGCCAAATGCCCCTCAGATGATTTTTAACCTTTCCCCCATCCCATTGGGAAGTGTGATATTTGGCTGTAGAAACACAGACACACTTAGAGTCAGCCTGGCATTTAAGCTTTTGTTCAAATTTGAGGGTAGAAAGCTGCTTACTGATATTTATGACAGTAGCTTTCAAAACACTGAATTTAGTCTCAATCTTTTCATCAATATTCACCTCATTGTATGGGCTTTGGAATTGTTTGGAGCCAAATTATTAAGAAAACGAGCTTTAGTTGGATTACATTTCTTAAAGTTACATGACATTTATCACCTTTTCTCCCTATTCTTACATTTCAGTAATTAAAGCATAAGGAGATTGAGCACAGGCGTGCTGGCCTGAGCAGGGACCCTCCCTGTGCTTCCTGTCCATAAGGTTAGGGGAGCTGCTCCTCTGCTTTAGTGGCTCAAACAAACCCATAGTTTATACACGGCCTCCAACACTTCTCTGCCTCCCTGATGGGATCATCCATCTCTCAAGCAAACAAGAACAGCTCCAGGAAAAGCTGCTTGTCTCAGGAGTCTGGTGATGGCCACCCTGACCATGGGCATCCCCAGGTCACATGGACATCCACATGGACAGAGCCGAGTGCTCCAAGTAGTGGGGGCTGTGGCTCAGGCATTAGGATTTCTTTTCCTTCTTTTTGCTCCGCTGGGTGGAACCCAGGGCCTTGCACGCACTGGGCGGTGGCCCTCTGCCAACACGCAGCCCGGGATTTTTAAAATATTTTTTTTACCACCTGCAGTGGCTTAGCCTGTGCCCAGATACCACCCTGGTTCTGACCTAGTCCCCCCAGGTGAGCAAGTGTGCCCTCTCCTGGTGGAGGTCTTGGAATCCTTGCACATTCACACAGTAAGGAAGGGTGTAGGGTGTGTGCACCAACAGTGGTGTCCCCAGAAGGAGCCACCTGGTACCACCTGTGCTCACCAGCGCTCACCCGCACCCGGGCTCCATGGCCAGGAGGCTGTGCAGCTAGATGGACTCTCATGTCCTGTTGTCCCAGCGACAGCTAGGACGGACCCTGAAATTTGTTGGTGGAGGCTTGTCCTACAGCCAGCAGAGCCCAGAGACACAGCACCTGACAGCAAGGTCTCTGTGGAGAGGTGACATTCAAGCCAACCCAGCAGGAAGTGGTCTCTTGGGAGCACCAAGCCCTGTATCTGGGCACAGGCTAAGCAGCTCAGCCCGGAGGGTTCTGGGAGGATGTCGGTTTGGCTTTGAGATGATGTTTGAATAAGCGGTGCTCAGTACCCCCCACACTTGCTGGCTTCCTTGCAGGTGATGAGAGAGATATGCCTTCGGGGGTATTTGGACGCCTACAGGTTCTTGGAAGAGAATGGTACGTGTGGGCGGGGCTGAGGTGTGTCCTGTATACTGCTTCCTGGGAGCAGCCCGGGTCCTCAAGGTGCTTGACGCCGGCCTTTCTTGCTCAACCCACTCATCGGCCCTGAGAGACAGGCGGTCCTTGCCCCATCTCTCAGATGGGGACACTGAGGCTCAGAGAGGGGTGGCATGAGCACACAGCCCTCAAAGGCAGGTGGAGCTGGGCTTTGCCTGGAGGTCCTGACCCAGGTTTCTCCTTCTCCAGGTCCAGGAGGCCCTGACCCCAAGGCACTCCTACCCAGGTCCAGGAGATCTGACCCCAGGGCTCTCCCCTCCAGGTCCAGGAGATCTGACCCCAGGGCTCTCCCCTCCAGGTCCAGGAGGTCCTGCTCCAGGCGCTCCCCCCCCCTGGGGTCCTGTGCTGTCAGGGTGCCTCACTCCTCTTGGCTTGGTGCTCGTGACCCCCAGCTGACCAGTGGCTGAGGTGAAACAGGGTTTCTGGGACAGGCCCCAGATGAAGCATTCAGAACTGGCCCCAAGCCAGGTGTGGGTCACGTCCACTGCACTAGTGGGCTCTCCTTCCCAGGCAAGTGCCCTCTTCTAAGTTGTCCCAGTTCACCTGGGCAGAGGGTGACAGTCCCCACTGCCGTGTTGTAGTCTGCCACTGCAGAAATGGTGGTCCTGTAAGGTAGATTGCCTGGTGGCTTTGTGGCCATCTCAGCCTGTGGGTAGCAGGATGTTCACATGGTGATGCCCAGAATGTGTCCTTGTTGTTAAGCCACACGTGTCTGTATTAGGGTGGAACCCATATTACACGGTTCAGAACCCTTTGTCTTTAATGCTAAGAGTCAGTTGAGGGTTGGGGGTTTGGATTATCCTTCAGCTGAGGCCAAGGGGACAATATGAGGACCTCGGTGTATTTATCTACGCAGAAGGTCAGTGCTGGGCTATGTGCTTGGGACAGTGCTGTGAGCAAATGTGGCCTCTGCTGGGCTCAGGGAGAAGTGAGCAGATGGCCATGTGCTGTTGGGAGCCCTGGCTCCAGGGTCACGCAGGAGGGATCTGCAAGTAGGGCTGCCAGAGGCTGTGGCCCCCCGAGACCTCCTCTGAACAGGAGAGCTGGGTCTCAGAGGCTGCAGTGGGCCTGAGGCCTGCAGGCTGGACTGCCAGGGGCAGGCGAGGGAGAAGGACCTGGAAATGACCGACGAGAGAGTCGGGAAGAGGATGAAGTCCTGGCTCAGCTTCCACTCTGGGGCAGGGGAGATGGGGTCTGCTTGCTGCTCGGGGCCCTTAGGAGGGCCCGGTTTGGCTGGAAGCCGGGAGCGTGTTCTAGGGCCCCAATTCCTTGGTGCAGACTTCAGAGTGGGGCGTGCGCGTGATAGAGGTGTCCCCGTGCGCACACTTTGACAAGTGGCACCTTGGGCCTTCTGACCTGACCGGGAGCCCAAGGACACTGCCACTGCCTGTGACCTGCCCAGCCCAGCACATGAGTCCTCTAAGAGCAGAGGCCACTCGTTGGGGTCAGTGGCCAAGTCCAGGCCCAGGGAAGGGCATGCACAGGGGCATGATACTACCTTGCCTGCTGCTATCTTTCAGAGCCAACCCTGGCTCTGCCATGCATTAGCTGTGTGACTTTGGACAAATCCCTTGGCCTCTCTGCTTCTGATTCCTTGGCAGGAAGATGGAGTCAAGAAAGCGGTGGGCTGCCCTGGAGCCTGACGGGCAGGGTCCAGCTCAAAGCCTGACCGTGCAGGCTCCACCCATGGGATTGTGATTAGAAATGAGCTATAATCCTTGTCTTTCAACCTTAAGAATCCAGGTGTAAAGAGGGGGTTGGCAAGCCACCAAGGCAGGAGCCAGTCACATCTGTCCACTCGAAAGCTTCTTCCTCCCTGGCACCTAGCTGATCCTGGGCCGGCGGTCCACGCTGGCCCCCTGGTAGCGCTGTGCTGGGTGGTCCCTGCTGCCCACCTCCTCTCGGGCCTTCTCTGCCCTCCTAGGCATCTGTGACTGGCCCCAGCTGTGCCCGAGTTTGTCCTCAGAAGAGGAAGAGCCAGAGGCCATCTTGCCCTGCTGGGAGGACCAGAGGCAGCAGCTGTCCCTGACCCTGGGGCTGGCCGAGGGGGAGGAGCTGCTGGAGCGCCTCAGCACCCTGCCCTGGGACGAGCACATCCTGGACACCTTGTCACCCAGGCTGGCCGCAGGTGTGGGTTCGTTTGGGGCGGTCGGAAGGTGAACACGAGAGAGCAAAAGAGCTTCTCTCCCGTGTTGTGGGGGCTACAGGGCAGAGTGACGGGGACAGGCCCGTGAGTGACACCAGCGCCCAGCTGCACGCAGAGCCTCCTTTCCTCCCACGGGGTCACGACCAGGAGGAAGATGGACCCCAGCTGAGCCTGGTCCTGGTTGCCGGGCCCTCGGCTCAGCTTCCCGAGTGTCCCCCGGCCCAGCTGGGCTGGTGTTTGTGGAGCCGGGGCCAGGTCCCTGGGACTGGGCACAGTCCTTCAGAATGCAGTTCAGGTCCCTGCTCCCTGCCTGTCCCCCGTCCCTGGTCCCTTTCTCCAGATCCCCTCCTGGTTTCCCTCAAGTTAGACCTCTGTGTCATGGGTGCTGAATGGACAGTGCTGGGGTCTGAGGGGTTTTGTCCCTTGAATCACAGGTTGAAGTCCTCTCCCCTCCCCAGGTTGTGGCATGAGGGGTGGGGGCTTGGGGGTGAACAGGTCAGTGGGCAGGGTCCTCGCAAGCGGATGAGTGCTCCTATGAAGGAGGTCTGAGTGGGCCTCCACCCCTCCCCACGGGAGGACACGGAGGTGCCCCCTGGGCAGGAGGGCCCTGGCCACACACCCAGACACCAGGACTCTGCAGGAGCCCTGGACGTGGGCCTCCCGGCCTCCGAACTGTGAGGACTAAAGGTGGACGTATGAGCCGTCTGTCCCACAGCAGTTGTGGCGGCAGCCTGAGTGGGCTGGTCAGGTGGAGGAGGCCACAGGCCAGCTTCTGAGGCTGCATTTGGGGCCACCCAGAGCAGATGCAGTTCCTGGGCTTCACGTCACTGGTGTCCTCGGAGCCGGAGACCCAGCTGCCTTGGCGACTCCAGACCCCCCTGTTGATTCAATCTTTTGTCACCTGCCACGGGGATGCCTGCCCCCTACCACCTCCACAAGGGCTGCTCTCCCCATTGATCTTCCGTGGCTCCTGCTCTGAAGGAGCCACCTGGCAGAGCCCGCCCCACGGCCAGCCTGACGCTCCTGGGCTCCAGGCTGAGGGTACTGCCGACCCGAGCTCCGCCTGGGTGAGTGGCCGCCTCTTCTCTTGGTGAAGACAGATCTCTCCTTGTCTCCCCCAGGGCTGGCGGAAGCCATGAGGGACAGGCGTGGCTACCTGAGCAGGCTGTCCAGCCTCCTGCCTGTGCGGGTCATGTCCTACGTCATGCTGCCCTGCACGCTGCCCGTGGAGTCGGCCATCGCCCTCCTGCACAGGTGAGCTTCCCGGCTGCCTCGCGTCTCCTGCGAGGGCTCCGTGGGAGGGTTAAATGAGGTGACAGGTGAAGGCCCCGGCCCAGCCTGGCTCACAGTCTGCATGCGGTGCCCAGAGTTGCCCAGCTGGCCCCGGGGGCCCGGGCAAGTCACCGCCAACTCTGCAGCTGGCTGTGGCCTCTCGTGGCATCAGGCTCAGCAGCTTGTGACCTCATGGGGAAACTGAGGCCTGGAGACGCTGGGTCACAGCTGAGGTCTCAGAGCTGGCTGGTGGACCTGGCGGGGCCTAGCGTTGTATCTTGCCCTTAGGCCTATTCATTTATTTAGTGGTGCTCAAGAAATGAACCCTCACACATGCTAGGCAAGTGCTGGATCACTGAGCTGTACCCCTGCACCCCTGTCCCTTTAAATCACGTGAAGATACTAGAAAGCAGGGAATCTCATCTTCTGTTTGTTAAAGTGGTTCAGAGTCAGCAATTAGATCAGAGCGAGATGTTCCTGGAACTTATTGATTGGTGCCCTCTGAAACGGGTTAGAGCTGGCAGCAGCTTGGCTGTGTAATCACACTGAGTTCAAATCCCAGCTGACCCTCTTACCACAGCTGTGTGACCCTGGAAAACTGAATTTGCCTCTCTGTGCTTCCCATCTAGAAAATGGGGATGGTAAGAGATCACCTTGTCCAGAAGGTGGTCAGAAGACTCAATGAGGGACTAAGTGTGAGGTGCTGATCACACAGGAGCATCCAGTTAGTGATGCTCTTGATTCTATTTTTAGATCCAGGTTGAGTATCTCTTACTCAAAATGCTTGGGACTAAAAGAATATTTCAGATTTGGGAATTTTTTTATTTTGGAATATTTGCATAGACTTTCCCAGTTGAGCATCCCTAATTCAAAAATCAAAAATCCAAATTGCTATTCAGCTGAGCTCAGTGGTATACACCTATATACCCAGCTCCCAACTTAGGGAGACTCAGTGGGTTCAGTGGGTGTGTTTCACCTGTGATAATAACGAGAGCAACCATTAGATGGGGCAGAGGATGTAGCTCAATGGTAGAGAGCTTACCTAGCATGCATGAGGCCCTGTAAGGAAATAAAATCAGACAAAAGACATCCCAGCCCTTTTATTTCTTCATTTTAAATTTTGAGACAGGGTCTTGCTAAGTTGCCTAGGTTGGCCTTGAACTTGTGACCTCCGGCCTCCACCTTCTGAGTGGCTAGTATTACAGAGGTGGGCTGCCTTGCTGGGCTTGGATTGTCCTCCTACCCCTCCTGGTCTGCAACGTCCCGAAGCCATGTCTGGGACACTCACTGTCCCATGCTCAGTCAAAGCCGCCTGTCTCTCCCTCCAGCTCTGGGAAGTGACCTCTTGCTCCCCAGCAAGCCTTTCTCCTCCATTCCTTTTCCCCTCTTCATTTGGCTTCCTGTCTACTGACTCCTTCTCTTTCCCATGTTTTTCATCTTTGTCTGTTAGTCTCTGACCTGGAATTTCCTCAGATCTTCTCTTCCAGTCCTGTTCTGTAGTTTTGAGCTCAACAAGCATATTTAGTGTCTAAGTGCTCACGTCTCTGTTTTCCTGAATGTTCTGTTCCTGATTTTTAAAATGATCTTAAACCTTTACTTAGTTTTACGTATTATATCCTTTGTTCATTTTGAGATCACGATAATCTTTACAACAAAATTCTTTCTTTTGAACACGACTCTAAATGAGCTGAGTCTAGACTATTTTGGAGCCACTCCAACAGGGAGTAAGGTGGGAGGCAGGGCCTTATCTCAGGCAGATAACACGATAGGACATTACATATGACACATGGATCAAAGGCTAAGAGAGCTGTTAACTTTTTGGTAGAAAAGGTTTCAGAATGCTTCCGTGTTTTACGTCACCTTTAAACAGATCAGGCTCTCCTTTTTACCTTCCAAAAAAACATTTGAATTCCAATTTCAGTGTGAAGAGTAACACAAAATTGCATATAACTTATTGACAGTAGGTTACTTTATCCAGCTACAAAACATCAAAGGAGGGCTGGGGTTGTGGCTCAGCAGTAGAGCGCTGGCCTAGCACGTGCGGGGTGCTGGTTCGATCCTCAGCACCACCTAAATAGAAAATAAAGGTATTGTGTCCAACTACAACTAAAAAAAAAAAAAGGACATGAATAAACACCAACCAAATTTGTTATTTCCATACAAATCCAAGACTACTGCCTCAGAAGACTTGCGTTTGGAGAACACCCTGTTCTTGTTTTATGGGTGTAATATTCTCTTGGAATATTTGCTGTCCTCTGAATTGTCCCTCTCTCTCTCTTCCTGGACCAGTTCTTCTGTTTGTCTCCTCTTTCTCTCTCATACCTTTGTCCTGGGCATTGTCTGGGAATCCGCTGCTCCAGTGTAGACACCACGTCTGCGCGGCTGGGTTCAGGCACTGTGCTGAGACTGTGTGGCTCCCCTCGGGGTCTCCTCCTGGGAGGGGTGTGCTTGTCGCCCGGCAGAGCTCCCGGGCAGTGACTGACGCCAGGGCTCCCTGTCTTCCTACTGCATCCTGTTTTCTTGGGCCGAGGCTCGGCTCAGTGCTCACCTTCTTCCTGGCCAGCTAGCCCGCAGGTCCTCCAGCCATCTTCTGAAGTCCAGTCCCTCCCTCCCTGCCACCGCCCTCCAGAATCGACCACCCCGACCCTCACGGCCCTTGTCCTGGGTTGTGGTCTGTGTTTGGGTGTCTATCACAGCCCTGGGGGGTCCTCTTTGTGTCTGTGGGGCCCCCCATGGGCACCCCTGGTGCTGCCTCCCGTGGAGCCCCGGGGACCCTGGACAGCCGAGGCTTTTCCTTTTCATCTCCACAAAGTCCCCCGACTCTCCAGGACCCAAAGTGGCCTGGCTTTGCTTTAGATTTTAGGTAGGCCTGTCTTTGCCACCTAATCCCGAATCCACCTCTGGGACGCAGCAGCAGCCTGCCTGGCCCGAGGGGGCCATTGAGGAGAAACTGCTTTGGGTTGCTTTCATTCTGGCTTCGCACCTTAAGGCTGAGCAGTTCTGTGTGTCACGCGTGTGCACACCTGTGTGTGTGTGTGTGTGGTCTTGGCTTCGTTCCTACAGGCTGCTGATCTGGCTTCCCAATATCCCAGATGACATCCAGTGGCTGCAGTGGGCCACCTCCCAGGTGTGTGCCCGCATGATGACGTGCCTGCTCCCCTCTTCCAGGTAAGTGGCTTGGCTGGGGCTTGGGGGCCAGATGGCCTTCCAGAAATGCCGATTAGATGCCAGATTGGTAGCAAGGAGCTCACCCTGGGTGTGGGGCCGTGTCCCGTGGGATGCCCTGAGTCCAGCAGCAGTCCCCGTGCCCAGGCCCGCCTGCTCGGCCTTCTCACCGGGTGAGTCCATTGGAGCCCAGTGTTGATGGTGAGCAGAGAGCCCGATAAAGCAGAGGAGGGCACCTGGGTGGAGGGGACAGGGAGAAGGTCAGGGGCAGCGGGCGGCACTGGGTGGTGTAGGGAAGGTGCTCTGGGGGCCTCAGGGCAGAGAGGGGTGCAGCAGGGAGAGGAGGACTGAGAGCTGAGGAGGGGCAGGGCAGCAGGGCCTCCTGAGGGCAGAGCCTACTGAGGCAGAGACCCTGTCCTCCCACTTCCCCAGCCAGTCTCGGGGGGTGGAGCCCAGAAGACTGGGGAGGTCTCGCTTCCAGGATCCTGCAAACTGACCCGGAGCCAAAGGACCTTGTGCCAGGGGCCGGGCCTCATCCCGAGATCAGGGGCCTTGGTTCCCCCCGCTCAGGGGGCGCTTCCTGGGCCCTCTCTGCTCTCCATGAGACTGAGCACTTGGCATAGGGCTTGGCCGCAGGGGACACTCTGCAGCCATCATGGTTGTCAGCAGCAGACATGGCAGAACTGAGAAGCAGGACCCTCAGTTCTTGGAAGGTGACCCTGGGCTGTGAGGATAGCCCATGGGCCGGGCTGGCAGCAGACTTCCCAAAGAGAGGGCTGTGGCCACGGCCAGGGGAGGCCTGGGGAGGCCCGGGCACAACAGTCGGTGTGAGTGGCAGGATTCCCACTGCTCCTGGGGACAAGGGAGTGTCATTTTGGGCAGGGCCCTGCTCTGTGGTGCTAGGTGGTGGCGGTAGAGCACCCTGGCAGGTGAGCAGGTGTGTAGGAACCAGTGGCCCATCTGGGACTGGGGAGGGAGGGTGGCGGGTGTCAGCGGGAGGTGTCCAGGTAGCTCAGGGACCATGGACTTGGAGGAGCCGGCTGGTGACCGCAGCCCTGCACTGAGGCAGGAGGAAGTTGTCTGTGGGCCGGGCTACCGCAGTGTGCAGGTGTGTGGGCAGCGTCGAGCATCCTGCTGGAGCCCGGGAAGGATGGCCAAGTCAGCCCTCCTCACTCTTTTCAGATTCCAAAGACCAGCGAGTGGCCAGCCTGTGCCCTCACACCCTGCAGGATGCAGCTCTGCTGACCTGTAGGCGACCCAGCCGCCCACCTCGTGGACAGGCCAGGAGGGGCCGCCTGCAGCGCCTGGTGCTCGATCCTCACCGCCAGCCTGGCCTCCGGCCTGACATCATGGCGTGGGCGGGTGGGGGTCGCTCTGCCTTCCTTACTTTCCTGGGAAAGGAGTTTCTGAGACTCCTGAGGGGGCATCTAGGAACCTTCCCCAGGTGCCAGGACTTCTCTCCTTTGGACAGTCGCCCCGAGCTGCTGATTAGTGACCTGTGCCTGTGACCTCAGCATCCTGGCCTCTGCTCAGTGGTAGTTCATGGGATCAGAGGCAGTGGCTTTGGTGTGATGGAAGCCAGCAAGCTACTTGGGTACAGGGGCCATCCAGCCCCTGAGGAGACCTACCTTAAGTGTCAAGTGGCTCCATTGATTGGGGGATGGTCCCAGGAAGTCCAGCGCAGGAGCCATGGCAGGATGGCTCACATCTGCTGGTGGCTGGACAGTGCCCAGAGTGGCCAAGGTTCCTAAGGTGGCCAGAGTTTAGACAGGGGCTGGGCTGGGCCATCTTGTGCGATCTTGGAAGGAAGAGAGCCACAGAATCCCACAGACACATGCAGGAAGCAGTCAGTGCCGCCTGGGCTGGGCAACTGTCCCCCGAGGCCCCGCAGGGGCACCTGCCTTCCATGTCTCCCTACAGAAGGACTGGCCAGGTCCTCAGCAGACACAGCCAAGCCCCAGCAGTGCCCGACAGTGGCCAACACACTTGCACACGATGGGTGTCTACACTGGGTCTGTGATCCTTATGAGGAGCTGTGTCAAGGCTGAAGGGATCACGTGGGACTTGTTTCCTTTCTGCTTTTGAAAAGTTCCCAATTTCCTTTCAGTTATATCAATTATCTTACTTAAATTTCAAGAAAATACGGCTAAATATTAAGATTGGTGCCGTCCAGGTGGTGGCTGGTGGGTGTTAGCTGTAGTTTGCTGAATGTTTGACATACTTGAAATTCTGTCTTTTCTACTTGGCAAAAAGTTTTTTCCAACTTCCTTACAATGAGCACATATTGTATCATTTTAAAAAAGTGTATTAGGCCGAGGAAGCGACGAGGTCAATCAAACTTGAGAGACGGCGAGGCTTCCCCTCCCCGTGCCTTTCGTGCTGCCTGTCCTGCCCGGAAGTTCCTCAGCAGCTCAGGGGCAGGTCCCTCGTTCTTCCCACCCTCTCAGGTCCACCCTGGGGAACAATCACAGTAGCACACTTAATGTCAGGGAGCGAGTCTTGATTTGGTAAAGAGATGGCAAAACTGGGTGCAGAGTATGAGCCCAATTTTGCTCAAAAAGAGATGCGTGTGGGCGTGGACGTGTGCTTCGTGGGGACGGCGGGCAGACACGGTGTCTCCGCCCCGTCGTGCTGTTACTCAGGAGGGCATTTGACTCGTTGGCCATTATGCGTTTTCCACATTTCCACGGTGAACATGTATTTCCTTCAGCGTCACAAAATGATTCCTATTAAATGTGATTTTTAAATGTGCTCCCTGTCCCTGTCTATCTGCAGGCCTCCTTTCCCCTCCCACGGCCAGGTCCCTTTACAGCCACTGTCCCCGCAGGCTCACACGCTGACACCCCAGGCTGCCCTGCCCTGCCTGGCCGGCTGGCCTCCACACTGCCCTGTGCCCTTCCCCCAGCCCTGTGGCCAGCCCTACCAGGCTGCTCGCCCCCCTGGAGCCCCCAGGGGGTCCTAGCACTGGGCCCCTCCTGAGCAGAGAAGCTTTGCTGGGTGTGATGGCCACTCCTCTAAGGCCCCGCTTACCCCCAGGAACCCCCGTCTCTGGCTCTGATGGGGGTCAGGCCCACCCAAGTCCCCTGAGCCAGGAACTGGGGACCATGGCAGGGCCCCCTTGCCCCACTCCAGCTGGTCCCACCCTCAGAGCCCTGCTGCCCCGGTCAGGCTGGGCCCTTTCCACCTGGCCTGCCGTAGCAGCTTCCCCCTGGGGTCCTGTGGCACTGTGAGCCTCGACCCATCTGCCCTGCATGTTGCTGTCCATAGGCCTGGACCTGCGGCCAGCACCCTGCAGCTGCCTTCCTGTGCAGCCTCCAGCCTCTTGCCTCCTCGTGCAGTCCTGCCAGCAGCTCAGAGCCTCTCTGCCTCCTACTTCCTACTGCGGGCCTCTGCCTTGAGGGCTGCTCTCCCCATGCTCTTCCGTCTTCCTGACTCACTTTCAGTCCTCAGGTGTCATGTGGGAAGGGGACAACAAGGGCGCAGGGCCCTGGGGAGCCCTCACCAGGCCGTGTCCTAATAGGCAGGTGACTCCAGTAGCAAGAGCCAGCCTGCCTCCAGTCCCCAGGTCAGTGAGACCTGGGGTCGGATTTCATGAGGAGAACCACCTGGTCACTAAGCTGCATCTCTACAGTGGACAGGCCAGCATTTGGTTAATAAATCATCCGGAAGGGGGTCCCCTGGCTTGTAGCTGCCACTGGAGAGTCAGTCAGGATGGGCTGGTTATACTGCATTAACAAAAAGCCCCAGAGGTCTCCTTACAAGACATGGCTTCCTGACTTGGCTGTGTTTCAAGTTGTCCTCACTCCCAGACCTGCCTGAGCCTACCCACCATCTGAGGACCGCTGATTGACACGCGGGGTGAAAGGCAGTGGTCTCGAAGGTTTCCGCCGGGGGGAGGTTTCCCTATTCCCTCTGTTCCCCATGTATTGACCAGATGAGTCAAGTGGATGGGGACGGGGAAATGCCATTCTATCCTTGCACAAGGTAACCTCAACAACCTCAACAACAACAACAAAACAACAAACCCGAACAGTCTTCAGACCCAGGAAACACAGGCGACAGCGGGCACTGGCACTGCAGGCCTTCCACAGCCTGGATGTTGCTACATGTTCTGACCGCGAGGTCCCAGCAGCTTGGGGTAAGGCAGGGACTTCGGGCTCCTCACCTGCCCTCTGCTATCCTGCCACCGCCCTTCTCACAGTCTCTCCGATATCTGGCTCATGGCTCCCGTTGTACTGCAGAGTGACCTTGTGGGTGGCCCCAAGAATAGCTATGAGAGGCACATGCAAGAAAAGGCAGGAGAAAGAGAATCCCACTCCTCCAGTGCCTGCAGGGGCCTGCCCAGCTTGCGCTCTCCAAACCCTCCACCTTGCACCTTAGAATCCACTTTCATCCCACTTGAAAGATGAGAAACGGGCAGAATGAACTTCAAATGCGTGTCCAGCTCGTGTGGCTTGTGCGTAAGATGCGTCCCGTCTCCCAGATTGTCTTCACTCCCAACATGGGCTTTTGAGTGGACTGGGATCGGCAGGACACCAAAGCCTCCCTCTGATGGCAGGAGCAGGTCTCCCGTGCCCTGGAACCTGGCCCACTGGCACTGAGCCCACAGCACTGGGTGGCCTCCAGAGCTGGGGCTTATGAACCTGGTTATGACCCGACCTGGAGCCCTGGGGATGTGGCCTAGCGGAGGAGGGCTTGCCAGGCACGCCTGAGGTGTTGGGTTCAATCCCCAGCAGAAAGGAGAGAGGGAGAGGCAAAAAGAGGGTGGGAGGGAGGAAGAGGGAAGGAGGCAGCCCTGCGGGGAGAGGTGCGCCAGGGGCCCAGAGAGCGCGGGTGGAGATCCGGTGTTCACACAGATGCCTGCGGGGTGCAGCCTGTCATGTGTACTGCTCCCCACTCTACTCCTATAAAAATCGTCTGAAGAGGGTTATCCAGGGAGGGGGGTCATCTGTGCCATCATCTACTTTAGCCCTCTGCCCAGTCCCTGCAGCATGTGGGCATCACTCA